GGAAGAGGAAGAGGAAGAGGAAGAGAGAGACGAGGTGGAGGATAGTAGAGAAGACGAAGCGACCAATTCCTTCACAGAGACCTTCTCCTCTTCCTTGTCAACCTCCACCTCGACCTCGAGCTCCGCCTCCACCTTCGGCTCCAGTTGCGGGGCAGGTTCGCGAGAAAGCATCGTCTTGAAGGCGGCTGAACCGACGTGGAAAGGCAGACGTCGAGTGGACCAAGTGCCGGCGACCGTGCCGCCCGCAACGCCGGGAATCCTGTCGCCGGGCATGAGTCCAGAGAGACGCAAGCTCACCTTGACGGTCAGTCCGAGACGCCGTCTCGACGCGACGTCGGCCAAGCCGGCGAATCGGACCGGCGGCGAGGAGAGCTCGGACGAGTCGATGACGCTGATCAGTGACTCGGAGAAGTGGGCCAAAAGAGGGCCGAACGAGTCGGACGAGCATGTGAAACTGTCAAAGCGACAGCCGGAAGTGGGCTTGCACTCTGCCAAAGTCAAGATCGGCACGAGTAGCCAAAACAGAGCGAGCGGTGACAGGCGAGTGGATGAAGCGAAAAGTGAGCATAAAGACAGAGCCATTTTTGCAAAGAATGATAACCGACAGAAAAGGTTGGCTGATGAATATGAAGAAAAGGAGGAGGAGGAGGAGGAGGAAAGTGAAGAGGAGGAGGATGAAGACGATGACAAGGAGGACGAAAGTGATGAAGAGAATAGTGAAAGTGACGAAGAGGACGAAGAATATGATGAGTACAACGACAACGATGGCAGTGATGTGTACGACAGTGAGGAGGAGGTAACGCCTCAAATGTCCGTTTCGAAGAGAGCAGACTAGGAGAAATAAACTTGACATAACCCAACCAAAAAGCACTTTTCATGCAGACTAATGGTCTCGGAGAAAGTTGACGCATATCCAGTCGGTTGCACCAAGCCAGAGTGGAATAGGTTAATTGCATAATGAGAACCAACATAACCTAGAAGAGGCTTGATGCAACAAAATGTTGAATATGAGGACAACAAAGTTTTGATAAGCCGTAGAAAGATGTGCTCGACAGTTGGTGCAGGTGAAGGAAAGAGTTAGTGATAGGACTGTAAGACTCCAATCGCAGGGTGAAGATGAATCGCAATGACCTATGTTGGCTATAAATAGACTGGGAAACTCGATTATACCGGTCTTACTGCCATTAAGAGGATACTATCCAACACATGCTCCACCAACCTCATCCATCGAATGGAACGAGTCAGTTGAGAAACTCAACTTTCAAGCTCCGCCTACCAGAGCATCTTGCAGTTCTGGAATAAAGGTGTTGCTTGAGAGGCACAGATGCTGAGGAAGCAAACTGAAAGGAGAGGTGGATGGACAACAAAGCGGCCAAAAAGACTGAAGGACAAACGGACAGTTGGTAGGAAAAGCACATTGGAGACGAGAGTGCACGCATGCCGGACTCTGAAAATGGCACCAGACGAATTAGAAAAAAAAGAGTACATCAAAAGATTCAAGACATCCGCCATTTCGAAAACAAGTTGAAGAGAAGGGTTCACAGTTTTAATCCAAAACTAGATAAATGTGGCTCAAAGTTGAATAGAACAAATGGACTTGAGCCATTAATTCTTTATAGTGCACAAAAAGGAATGCGAAGATTGATGCAGCATAAACCGAGAGAAGATGGCACAACCAGATCGTCGATGCAGTCCAAGAGAAGGCCACTCTTTGCATTCTCTTCTTATTCAGGCCGCTAAAGACTCATTCGGACGGCTTCAACCACATCACAAGAGCGCTTAGTTAAGGTTCCGCAAATG